GTGGCGCTCATGGTGGCCCTGGTCGCGCGGAGCGGTCCTCGGACGGTATGGTTGTTCGTGGTTTTCCCTGTTTCTGTCTCCAGGGGGTCTTTGTTCTTGACGCGAGTGGCCATGATCGCGCCTTCCCGTGTCGACGGGATGTTCCCTTTCCAACGGGGGCCGTCGCCCGATCGGTCGGGGAGACGGGCTTCGGGAAATATTCTGACTACGTCTCTGCGGGGGAGATTGGGGATGTTCCTCTACTTGTCGAGGAGGAGGAGATTGAGGTCTCCTGTGTGTTCTTGGGGGGCCCCGATCGTCTTCGAGTGCCCTCAGTCTTTCTCCATGGGTGAAGATCAGGTAGTTGGTCTGATTTATTGTCGCGAACAGTGCCCTAGTCGTGGCGTCTGCCCCGGTGGAAACGGGGACCTCATGGAACTGGACGTGTTGGTAGTTCTGGGGAGGTGGCCGGTCTTCTTCAAGTCGAGGAGGCAGTGATGACGACGAAGCAGTGGCTCCGTCTCTGTAGTTAGAAGGCCCGGGAACATTAATGCCCGGGGTTGTGTTATGGCCGGCGGTACCGGCATTGTCAAGGTCGGCATTATTGTCGGCAGTGTTGTTATTAACGTCGATAATACAGACGTTCATGTTATCTGGAGTCTGGTCATCCATGACAGTCGGGGATTGTTTAGCTTTGGTCTCAAGTTAATAGAAGACGGGGAAGAAAGTTTCTCACAGACGGCGCCACTGATCTTACCGGATCAGAAATTGACCGTCACAGCTAGCTCGGGCATAATTTGAATGAGATGGGGGGGGGGAGGGGTACTTGCAAGACACTCCGATGGAAAAGTAAGTTGCGGAATGGGCAAGCAAGTATGAGTTTAGAGATATGAAATTGAATACCTGACCCTCTCGGAAGAGAGGGTATTTATAGCCTCCAGCGTTAGGCCAAGGTCTCTTTATTGGACTGATCAAACAGGCCCAACATAGAGACTGTCAGGTTCTACGTGAGTAGTGGGGACCCGCATGTGGCCCCTTACCTGGATGACGTACTCCGCAAGACCAGGAGAATATGGACACGGTCTTTCCGGGACCACGAAGACTCTGCAAAATTCGGAGAGGTTGGAAGTCAGCCCTACGAGGAGGGTGCTCGGGAGGAGCGCCTGCTCGTCAGAGATGGTCCCCACGAGCACCGACGGGAAGCAGTCTTGGTCGATAAGGATGTGGTCGGGGTGTGCTCGGGGAAAATACCAGTCAGCCCAACAGGTTGGCCCGCTTGGATCGGGCCTCACTGAGAGTTGGGCCAAGGGCAGGCCCAGTTCAGAACAAATTTATCAATAAAATGTTTCATATTTTGTTTAAGTGAATATTTGGGTTAATTTTTATTTTTTTCATCTGGTTTTGTTTTTGTAACAATGTATTAGAGAGTGTCAAGTACTGCCTATAATAGAAAAGACGATTGAAATAAATTTATGTGGTTTGATCATGCAGAGAGAAAACATGTAAATTATGTAGTAAAGAAAATAGACCAAATAGAGATAAAGCAAACAATTCGATAAAAAGGAAGATCCAAAAAGACTATAAAGAAAAGTTATTAAGAAAGATTTTGAGATTGTTGCTTTGGATAGAAGTATGGTCCTTAATAGAACATTATGGAGAAAGTTGATCCATGTAGCTGACTCTATCTAGTAGGATAATGCTTAGTTATTATTGTTTTTGTTTATTTGTCTGAAGGACTTATTTTGTTAGTGCACAAGGTGATGAAGAGCATAAAAAATGAGAGAATATATTTTTATTGATCTGTAATAACGACTACAAAAGCTAAAGAAAGATTGATACATATGACAGCTACCACTAGTCTATTTATACATAAAGTAAATTGACACGTAAGCCCTAACAAAAAGTAAACTTAAAGACTAAGTTAACTTAATAGTTAAGCTAACAAAATAACTAGAACCCCATAAACTAAACATACTTCAGGGACGCCTCTTAAAAAGCTGCTGCTTCTGACTAACAACGACTTTTGAATATGAATTACTTTCAACACCGTACCTTAATTCATATTCAGCTAATCAAAAACTACAACACCAATTTCATCCCTCAAATGGATAAAGTGTTCAGTCTTGACATCCTTCGTCAGAATATCTACAAGTTGCTTCTGGTTGCTATAGTGTACAACTTCTAATACTCCATTTAGAAATGCAGATTTCACCTTGAAAACTCATTTGACGCTGATGGCTTTCTTCTCCTTTGGAAGCTCAGTTAACTCTCAAGCCTTGTTTCTTTCTATAGCCTCAAGTTCTTCTTTCATGGCATTCAACCACACTTTCTTCTTGAGAACTTCTTCAATACCCACTTGTTCAGAATCTACTAACATGACACACTGAACGACTTCTCCCTCAGAATCTACTTCAGTGTCTTGCAACATGTCAAACTCTGCAAACCTTCTTGGTATTTGTCTGATTCGTCGTGGTCTCTGAACTTGTTTAGAATCTTCTTCTGATTTTGGAACCGTATCTCCTTCTAGACTTTCTTCAGAAGTTTGACTACCACCAAAAGCTCAACCTTTGTTAACTTCTGGACCTCGTCCAGAATCACTACCTTCAGAAATATCACCTTCAAAAGTTGGATCGCCTTCAGAAGCTTTGCCTTCAGAAGTTACACCTTCAAAATCATGACCACCGTCAGAGGTTGGACTACCTTCAGAAGCTCCTCCTTCAGAAGGTCCACCTTTAGAGACACGATTTCCACCAGAAACATGATCTTCTCCAAAAGCTTGTCTATAGAGTTTTCCCTTCCAGAAACATGATCACCACCAAATTTAAAATCTCGATCAGAATCAAATTCACCATCTGACTCATCTTCAGAGTCTCTAGAAGATTCTTCATCTTCTGACTCTGACTCACCTTCAACACTTTCAAGTTTTGACTCATCTTCAGAATCAGAATCTTCTTCAGATTCAGACTCATCTTCTGTTTCTTCTTCAGACTCAGAATCACCTTCGGATTCTGACTTGTCTTCAGCTTCAGAGTGATCTTCTAACTCTGACTCATCTTCAGAAACATCAGATTCTGACTCATCTTCAGAATCTTCAAAGTCATCTTCTGATTCTGACTCATATTCAAACACTCCTTCAGAATATTCAGAGTCATCTTCTTCCCCTTCATAATTAGAAAATGACAAATGCACATGTTCCTCATCAGATTCATAAGCCATTAATAGCACAAGTTCATCATCAGAATCTCCTCTGGCTATTTTTGCTTCTTCTTTGTTTGACTAACAATCTTTAGCAAAGTGACCAAACCTATTACAACAATAACATTGGATCATTCTCTTGTCATACTTCTCATTTCCCTTCTGATGTTTCTTCTCATCAAAGTGGAAGACTTCTAACTTTTGAGACCTACCATGTTTTTTCTGCTTTTGGTCCTTCTTGACAAAAGAAGCCTTCAAAGCTTGCTCAACTTCTCTTTCAGAAGTTCTCTCAGTCAGACGCAACTCTTGCGCCTCTAGACTGCTTTGCAGCTCTTCTATATCATGGTGTCCAGATCTTTAGAATGCTCAATTTCTACAACAATGTAATCAAATTGAGGGGTAAGAGACCTCAATATCTTCTATATGATTACTTGTTCAGAAAGAGTTTCTCCACAAGCTTTCATCTCATTAATGATCAGAATCACTCTGGAGATGTACTCAGATACATTCTCGTTGTCCTTCATGTTGAGATTTTCATACTCCTTTCGTAAAGACTGAAGCTTCACCTTGTTCACTGATGTGTCACCACCATTACATCTAACCAGTGTGTCCCACGCAGCCTTTCCCGTCGTCGAATCAACGATTTTCTCAAACACGTTCACATCCACACACTGATGGATGTAGAACAACGCGTTCTGATCTTTCTTCCTCAAATCACGCTGAGCATTTCTTTGCGCATCAGTTGTATTTTCTGGAAGTGCAACCTAAACATAACCATCGTTGACGAGATCAAGAACATCTTGAACGCCAAACAACACACACATCTAAATCATCCAACGATTTCAGTTCTTGCCATCGAACACTGGAAGTTTGGTGCTCAGACTACCATTTCCGTTCATCTTCGATCTTGTACAAGTCACTCAGATCTCACCAAACACAGTGTTTCTCAATCCCACAGAATCAGAAAAATGTGATTTTGTTACGATTTCGTTCAAGATTCAACACGAATTCAAGAAAAGAAATCAATCACACAATGCCTCACTGTTTCACTCGTGTTTCCCATGTTTCCCTGTGGATCCGAACTGGAGCTCTAGATACCAATTGTTAGTGCATAAGGTGATGAAGAACAGAAAAAATGAGAGAATATATTTTTATTGCTCTGCAATGATGGCTACAAAGTTAAAGGAAGATTGATACATATGACAGCTACCACTAATCTATTTATACATAAAGTAAATTGACATGTAAGCCTTAACAAAAAGTAAACTTAAAGACTAAGTTAACTTAATAACTAAGCTAACAAAATAACTAGAACCTCAAAAGCTAAACATACTTCTGCGATGCATCCTCAGAAGCTTCTGCTTCTGACTAACAACAACTTCTAAATATAAATTACTTCCGACATATTTCAAGACTTCTGTTTGACTTTTCTTTTAAGGGGCAGAGCAGAGTCCTCTATTTGTAGTAAATGTATAAATAGCATTAAGAATATGCATCAATAGAGAGTGAATATTAAACAAAAGTCACAGGTACAAAGAAAATTTATATGACCAAAGCTTGAACTCTGTTGTTGCCTTGCATTTCCTATTGATATATTAACTGTATTAATACATAAAAAAAATCCTGTGCTGTAAGGAAAAAAAAAGACTAATATATTATTATTTGTATACATACCAGAGTGAAGTAATTCATTTATATTTTTTTACAATTCAATTAGATACAGAAATATGAAGACCACTTACAGTTCCAACAAATACAACATCTATTCCCTTGTAGACAGACTGCAGAAGATAGTTTCTAATGTTGGTATTGAGTATTGACTCGCATTAGAGTGGACCAACCATGTTGAATTGAGTCCATGCCTCCTGCATTGCAAATATAGACTTCTACATTTAGTAATGCTAATAATTATAGACTTCTACATCAATGAAAGAGGCATGGAATGTTTATGACCAGTTTCAAGCAAGATTCTAGATACTGTCCATGAAAGAGACAAAATTATAGTGATGCTAGTAAGTTGCACAAACATATTACCTGTAAAATATCAAAAACTTTTTCTGCAATGTATTTTTGGTCCGAAGTCGCACCCTTTTGCTGCAACTTATCTGGATGCAGACTGAGTAAAGCTCTTTGATAAGATCTTTTCACCGCATTCCCTTCAATTATATCAACAAGAGGCACAGGCTTCCAGCCACAGTTTGGCCAAAGTACCTTTGTTCATAATGGAAAACATATTGAAGTAATTACACACTTAGATGAAACAAAGGATTAAAAATGCTTTATTGTTGTTAACAGGAAAAAGAACATGATATGGTAACTAGCAAAAGAAAATATTTATTTTCTTCTTACGTATTGTAATGTTGACAGCAGCGAGCGTATGTTTCCTTCCTTCCCTTTAGACCACTGTTGTATCTTCTTGTCAATAACCTACATTGTGTACAGAAACATATGTTTAATATCTTTGTTCTTCTACAAGTTGATAAAAACAAAACATGCATAGGTAAGTCGCAAGTTACTTGGATTTCTTGAATTTCTTGGTTTTGTGAAACCTCCTCCTCATCTTGGGATAATACTTGAATCTGCAAATTCCAAGTCAGGTGCTTATCCATATAAGCACACGAAAGTATAAAAAAAATATATACTTGGAACTTGTTTAATTTAACAATGGAATACCGTGAAATTCTCATGAAAGGACTCGTCTTTATCTCCTATATCTTCCGGAAATGAAATGTCATGAACTGCTGCTAACAAAATCAAGTTGTTCCATCACATAAGTTAATCATCAAGTATTCATCCAAATCTTATATACAAAATTCCCCAAACCGAGACTAGTATATTCATAATTCCTTAGATGCTCAAGTTAGTCCATTCTCAACTGTCAGAAAAATAAGGTTTCGAGAACTAAGCAGTACCTGATGCTGAGATATCATCCTGCTGTGAAAAACTATTGGTAGGCATATCTGTGATCTTTATGTTAGAGACCTCCTTCCGGGACTGTTCAGCTTCACCATCCACCTGTGAGAATTGAAACAAATCTTAACATCGAATAACATGACATTCCTCGTTAATAATGTGAGTTTTCTCTTGTGGTCATCTTCTTCAGCTGTGACAACACTTACATCATTATTTTCCCTTACAGCTCCTTTCTGCTTGTATGCATAACCCTGAAGTCGAGATTTTGAGTCAACTTTGGGTTTTGTTTCAGCTTCTTGGTTGAATATTTGAACGAAGTCTTTGACCTTTCCTTTAACTCGGCCTTTCCCCATACTTCTGCCTGGGCTTAATAAAGCCTGAGAAGTAGCTTTGCTATATTCTACACCTCTCATGGGAACTGTCTTTCGCTTTTCATCTTGCTTCTTTGGATTCATAGGAATATCAACATTAGAAGACAGCTTCTTTGAGCTTTTCGCCGTGTTTCCTTCTCTTGCCTTTCTAGTTATCTCATCATCATCATCATCGTCATCATCTGACAAAACCATTGACAGTTATCACAGGATGGTAAATCTCTCTCTCACACACATACACATAAAAAGAAGAATGCCAAAGACAGCTTTACCTTGCTTCTTTGGATTTATAGGAATATCAAGATTAGCAGATAACTTCTTTGAGCTTTTCGCCGTCTTTTCTTCTCTTGCCTTTCTAGTTATCACATCAACATCTGACATATAAAACTATTGACAGTTATCACAGGTGGTAAATTTTACTCACACAGAATGAAAGAAGAATGCCAAAGACGGCTTTACCTGATTTCTTATTACTTTTACCGAACAGAGAATGTAATGATTTGGAATCATGTTTCTGAGTTTCATTTGTTGCTTCGGTTTTTCCATAAAAGACTCTCTCACTTGTAGAACGAGTATTTGATTCTTCTTTGGACTCTTTTGTGATAGGACTGACAAAAACATCTTTGATAAGCGTTTGACGGCTGCTCAATGAATCTGATTGAGTTTTTGCAGAAACTATAGGTTCTACCGTCTTTTGAATGGTTGCTGAAGTAGTTTTTGACACATCTTGTTTTTCATTTCTAGTCAAAGAAGAACCATTGTATATAATAGGACTATCGTTTTGAGTGGTAATCTCAGTGACTATCCAATCCTTAGCACTCGAGCATTTCTCGAGTTTAAACTTATTTTTTGTCCTCGAGGTTCTCTCTGTCCTAAGAGGCATCGCCAAAGTCACCCCTTTACTTGCCCATTTATATATTGAGAAATGAAACTTATCATTGCTGGTATTATCATTATTATTACTATTATCAGGAGAAACTTCAGTAACAGTAACAGATCTGTCCTGTTTCATATTGTTTCCTTTGTCGACTTCATCAGATAGGCCTAAGTTCCAAAGCTCCTCCGATAACAGACTTTGCCTGTTAGATGGTTTCAAATCCTTCCGCACCTCCTTATGTTGAGCTGAAAATCGAGATAGATTAGAATCTGAGAATGCTAATCCATTTGAAGCAGAGATATCATTGTCGAGAGAAGGTGAACCAAATATCCCTTTCGTCGATGTGGCAGGAAGGCTGATCAGTTGAATTTGGAAGGAGTAAACATCAGAGGCAAATTGAAGATGAACATCAACTCATTAATACATTGCTATGATATTATAAGTAACTAAAACAAGAAACTAACTATACTATCATCATCAAATAACCTACATATTAAACACTAGGTGAAAAAAGCTATCGGGACACCAGAAATACTACACTGACACTAGACACAGATACTCTAATAATAATTTAAAAAATTAAATATAATCACACGTGTCTGTTTTAGTTTCGAATATCCAAACTGATACTTTTTTCAGAGGTGACAGTGATACCGAGAAAAAAGTGATGAGAAAAAGAAAACCTGAAGGATGGAGGGAGAGAAGACGCAAGTGGTTGAATTCCGGGGCTAAAACCAGCACCGTCGCGTTTCTTTGGCGTTGAACATCCACTCGGACTCTGACTCTGCGACTGAGATTCTTCTCCTCCAAATATATCATCAAAAAAATCTTTAGCTTTTTTGTTTGTATAACGTCTTCTAACTCCACTATCATCACCAAACACCGATTTCCCTCTCTCACCCTCCACCGGCCACCTACAGCTTCCCGATTCACCTTCTTCTCCACTGAACCCCGACGTCCGCTGCGGTGGTCCACCAAACACATCATTAAAATCAACTTCCGATTCCCTCTGCGACGTACTCGGATTACTATTGCTATCGCCGTCACGCTTTTCAGAAGATTTATAAAATCGCTCCATTAATAAGAAATTCAAAATCTGGCGGGAAACTGTTAGAGATGAAAAGAGAAGAGTAGAAAGGTTTATGAGAAAGAGCAACCATGTCAGAGAGAAGAGAATTTTGAAATAATAACTGTATTATTACAGAAGAGGACAAAAAGAGAAATCTAATAGAAACTGCAAAACCACAAAATGTATATATGGATAAAGTACGAATAATTATTCAAATATTAATTTGTGAATCTAATTAAACCCACGCCATACACCACAATCTCTCATTTTTCTTCTCTGGCTTTTTCGTCTTTTTCTTTCGGATTATATTAATTATTATTATAATATATATAAATATAAAAACAACAAACAAGATTAATTTTATTTAACTATTGTCTTTGTTTATCTTAGAAACCGTGTCTCGTGTGATTTCTGATAGGACAATGAAAGATAGGAACTAAATACGCTGGAAGTGTCCAGAAAAGAACTAGGAGTACTATTTGGAAAACATTTGTGTTTTTGGGAAAAATTTTAATGACAAAAAACCTTAACAAGAGTCAAATGTTGGCAACCAATAATGCTTCTGTATAATGCAGAAGAAAAGAACAAGTAACCAATAATGTTTGCTGTTCAATGCAGAAGAAACCAACAAGCACCCAAGGAATAAGGGGATATCAAAATTTAAGATGGGAAAGGTTTCAAACAAATTTTAAATTCCAGAACTATCTCAGTTATATTGAGTGTGATTTCTTTAGTAAACTTCGTCATTTTAAACCTTTTTTGTTTTGCTAAAATAATGGTTGTAAATTAATTTAAACATTGTACAAGTTTGTTAGTTCTGGCCATACTAAAAGTATTAAGTTATGTTTTTTGTGCTCCATCATATTCTTCTTTATATGTTTTTTTTTTGTATGATAAAAAAGTCAGGTGTATTGTATTGGTATATCCTTGAGTCTGTTTAATCTTTCCATTTGGTTTTGTTTTCAATAAGTACTAAATAATAATGTATTACCACCAATGATTCAGGTTAATAAGTACTAATAAATATTTGTAATCTCTCTCATTCATTTTGACTTTCTTTTTTATCTACCTAAATCTGTGTTAATATATCTCTCTCATTCTATTTTTTTTCTTCTTTTTTCTTTTTATTTTTAAACTTAGTGTTGTTAATATCCTTTTAGATAAATTTATTAAAAAAAGTATATAGGCAAACATCTTTTGATTTAAATATTCAAGAAAATATATGGATTTAATTGAAATATATTGAAGGTGTAAAGAAATTGTATACCATCAATGAATCACAACCGTTGATTTATTTGAAAATTTTGACTTTAATTTTAATTTTATTTAAAAAATTATTTTTTTTTAATGGTTATAATGTATTGATGAGTAACACCGACTGTATATAGTAGTTAAACTCAAAATATATAAATAAGAGAAAATTAACATAAACTAAAAATATCAATTTATTATCTCATTTATAAGTTTTCCTATAAAGGATTAATGAACATTATAAATGAAATGCACCAGAGTATTTCTCCTAATTACAAGGTTATAATCGTCTAAATGCACTTAATCCATTATATACCATTATTAATTATTAATTCACGATACAGAATTTAAAAGTCACTTCCCATTTTTCAAATAAAAATTAATATTTCCCTGCTTAATTCATGCATAGGAAATTCAACCAACACAACAATAAAAGATGGAAAATCCTTTCATTATCCTTTGGGAAAGGAAGCAAATTGTGTCTTTAAATTATTTGTGAATTCGACGCCGATGCCTTTATTATAATGAATGTTTTTGGAGACATAGACTAACAGGTAAATGAAGCGTATCTACGGAATAACATATGTAGATTATGTTTTGTAATGAATGTTCTTGCATGCATAGATCAACATATAATATGAAACACATCTATGAGATAACAGTAGTAGATTATTTATTGTACTTATTAATGTTGTGTTCAACCTTTTAACTCATTTATCTAATTTTAACCATGATTTTTTTATCATTACTTGCAAAACAGGTTTCAACTTTCAATGTAGATTTTAACAGTCACTTTTATTTTTTCAATGAAACTTGAAAATACACTTTTTCAATATATTTATCGGCAACTCAAAAGTCACAATAGAATTCATAAGGTCTGATTTGGGAAAATAAAGAATTTCATTCTACTAAATTTTTTGCTCACCAACTTTATAAGTCAAATAATTTCATTGGTAAGAAAATGTAGAAAAAGTTGAGTTAGCGGGCACAACACTTAATTTCAAATTTATCATAATGAATATTTTTGGAGGCATTGATCGACGGGTAGATATGAAGTGTATCTATAGAATAACAGTTGTAAATTATTTATCGAAATAAAGGTCCTTGGAGGCATAAAATGACGGATAAATGTGAAACATATCTATGGATAACCGTTGTAGACTGTTTATCAAAATGAAGATTCTTGCAGACATAGATCCACGGGTAGATGTGAACGTATCTATGAGATACCAGTTGTAGACTATTAATTTTAATCTTCATCTTTTAAATCTTTCTTTTGCTACTGTTTAATATAATTAAAGTTAGAGAATCGACTGTACGGTTTATTATAAGTATGAATCAATGCTTGAAAGTTAGTACATATTATTATCATATATTTGTAACTATGTGAATGTCAACCAATTGAAGAATTAATTCATATTTTATAAATGATGGTCTGATAGACGTGTAATGTGAATCTAGATGGGACTCGTGTAATAACATGAGTTTCTTACTAATAGTGTCTTAAAATGAGTGATTTATTTCAATTTTCAATGCTTTTTTTTTCAATTTTATTTTCTAATTAATAAAACTTTCATCATTCTTAGAGGCATTGATCGACGGGTAGATATGAAGTGTATCTATAGAATAACAGTTGTAAATTGTTTATCGAAATAAAGGTCCTTGGAGGCATAGAATGACAGGTAAATGTGAAACGTATCTATGAGATAACAGTTGTAGACTGTTTATCAAAATGAAAAATCAGTACTATTAATTTTTTAATAGCGATGAAAAATAAGAGATCAAGCTATTAATTAACTTGACTCGCAAATTAGCAAGAGTCGCCACCGCGCTTTATTATTTCCAAGGGAAAAGAGAAAAGTGCGAAATAAAATCCATAAACATGCAAAGTAAGTGCAATACTAAAAGTAAAGAAAAATACAATGCATTTGAAAAGATTGAAGGTTCGGGGGTTGGTTATACAAAAAAAAGGTACTAACACCCTATGTATCTATAGTATCCTATAGGAACCTTTTGAAATATCTATATTTTTGGTTAAAAAGTTTGTTTGTAAAAAGGATCGAAGAGATGAGAAATTTTAAAAATGCAACGACCTAATGTCGAGGTTTTGACTTAAAAGGGTGTAAATTTGAAAACAGGGTTTTAAAGGTTTTAACTAATGGGAAACAAATATGAGGGACAAAATATAAAGACTCACAATAATATAAAGTCAAAGAGACAATCCTTTCCCTTGGATTCAAATACAAAGATAATAATCAGATGAAGACCGAACAAGAACCATGCATCAGATAAAAATGGATAGTAACCATAGTCCAAGGATTAAAGAACCAATTTTAATTTTTTTTCTTTATTAAGTGGCTTATAACAAGCAAAAGAAAATAAGAAGCTCAAGTGAGCAAAGAGAAGATAAATGCTCAAGTGAGCAAAGAAAAAATGCTTAGAGTAAAGAGAATAAAATGATGTGGCTGATAAATGGCATAAAAGTAAAGATAAGAAAATATAAAGTGCAGAAATATAAATGATATTAAAGTAAAGTTAGTATAATCTAAAGTTAATAATCTGATTTGGGATAAATGTAACTTCATATGGAGCATAGAATGTATGTACCCATACATGTTAGAGAAATGACATTTTAAAGTTCATTCTCTTATACATGTAGTACAATTAACAAACACGGGGATCAAGACAAAGTCAAGGAAGATAAATTATGACAAACTTATCATCAATGCCAAGTATTTTGAATGATCAAAAGACCATTTAAAGGTAGATTGAAAATGATGAAAGTTCATCAAATATCCGACAAGCTTAAATGAACTAAAAAAACTCAAATACTTTCCAAATTGATCCAAATAAAAATAAAAATAAAATAGATAAAGAAGAATAAGATAAAGTCTATAATAAAAATAGTATAAATGTCATAACTTTCTAAATTTTTCATGAAATTAAACAAGTGAATAATAAAAGTTTATCTACTCAATCTCACGACCAATGGTCCATGCTCAAAATAAGTAAACAAATAACAAAAAATTACATAAAAAAATGAAAATTAAACAACAATAAATCACTTTTGCTTTTGGAGGTCCAAGAACATTTTTCAACTCTTGATTTTGAATCAATGGAGTTTTCTTCCAAAATGGTGATAATTATGGTACTAAATAAATAAATAAATAAAGAGTAAAAATACAATATAATTAAATAAAGAACAAGTATAATAGCCTACCTATTCAATAAAAGGAAGAAATGGCTTGAAAGAAAATGAAGAGGGAAAAAAAGAGAGTTTTGGCTTAGTTTAATGAATGATTTATGATATTGTTCCTCCAAATAAAAGAAAAAATGTCTTATTTATATGGTGAATGAGGTCGGAGTGTTGATGTGGTAATCCATGTGACTTTATAAGAATGGTTCTTGGTCATTGATAAGTTCAAGTTGACAATCTATGTGAAGTGTGAGAATGATTCTTGGTCATTGATAAGTACAAGTTGGTAATCCATGTGAAGTGTTTGTACTATATTATAGTGGTATCAACTTTTCTTTATTGACACAAAAAAACAAAAGGACAAAGCAATAATAATAATAATAACTCAAAGTGTTAGTAATAATAATAAATATAAAATAGAAAATAAAAGAGACATTAAATTTATGATTTTTTCTTGAATTAAAATAAATGAAAATATAAGTGCAAATTAAAAGATAAAAAATAAAATACATATAAGAAAGTAAAAGGACTTATATAAATTTTTCTAGATTTTTTTTGAAAT